GGGGGTTGTGGAGAGACTGGGACGCTCCTGCATTGTTGGTGGGATTGCAAAATGGTCCAACCTCCCTAGAAAGCAATATCACACTTCCTCAGAAGGTTGGAAATATTATGCTACTTTGAAGAGTAACAAGGAAGCTGCAAGTCACCACATAACATGGATGAACCTTGAGGACATTATGTTGAGTGAAATTAGTCCATCACAAAAGGAGAAATACTGCATAGGACCACTACTGTAAACAGCTAAGAAAAAGAACCCATGTTAAAGTAGGGAAAGATTCTTTGCTGGTTACCAGGATGTGGGTGGTTAGGTGACGGGATAGAGGGGAAAATGGAGCACAGGGTAAGGAGTAGACACAGGATAGTTTGGTTGCTAGGGAGGGGACAATACAAGAGAAGAGGGAGAGGACTGGAAGAACAAAGCAAACGGGGAAACAATTAGGCAGATTTGCATGGGCTAAGTGGGACAGAGGTAAATAATGATGTATGCACAACCTTGGAACAACAGGCCTCTGGGATACAGGTATTGAGACAAGGTTGGAATGGGGAAAAGCGGGGAAATAATGTTAAGATGCTTGGCTGTCTTTTGATTCTTGATTTCCCTGTCATACCATTATAAAGGAATAGCCAGAAATAGCACCATAGAATGCTTGTAAGCCTGTTATCTGCCTATAACTGATTGGAATACCTAAAATGGGGCTACAATGTGCCAGTGAAGGAGGCTTCCTGCAGAGCCTATGCATTACGTAAGACCATAGGTGGAATCCCTAACAGCAATTGTGAGGATGGCACAGAACCAGGCGGTGTTTCGTTCTGCTGTGCTTGGGGTTGTTAAGGGTCAGAACTGACTCAATGGCACCTAACAACAACAATAAGATCTATATTATATCATACCAAAAAATTAGAAGTGATCTAAATTTTCATGAGTAGTTCAGTAAATAAAACCAAACACTTTGCTACTGAGTATATAAGAACTCATAGCAACCCATGTGTGTCAGAGTAGAACTGTGCTCAGTAGGATTTTCAATGGCTGAGCTTTTGGAAGTAGGTCACCAGGCCTTTCTTTCAAGGCACCTATGAATGAACTGAAAGCTCCAACCTTTCAGTTAGCAGCCAAGTGCAGTAACCATTTACACCACCCAGAGACACCAGTTTAGTAAAATATGGTATATAAGCATGATGATGCAGGTGAATTGTGGTATTCCCAAAGAATATTGAATGTACTATACACTTCCAGAAGAAAAACATATCTGTCTTGGAATAGGTATGGCCAGAATGCTCCTTAGAAGCGAGAACAATCAAATTTCATATTATGTACTCTGGACATGCTAGCTGCTTGGTAAAGTGCAAGGTCAGCAATACAAGGGAAGACCCTCAGTGATATGTAATGACCATGACTGCAACAATGGGTTCAAACATAGGAAGGACTGTGAGGATGCTATAGCACCAGACAGTGTTTTGTTCTATTATACATAAGGTCTTTGTGAGTTGGAATTGACTCAATGACACATAGCAATATCAGAAAGCATGATGGAACTAACTGTACCATTAAATTCTAATTAATCTGGACATATTAACACTGTTATTTGCTGTTGTTTGATGAGTGCTTATTGGAGCCTAGGCCTTACTACTCCCAGAGAGTAGGTTTCAACGATGGGTAGGTATGGCCATTGGTATTTCTTTAGAAGTTTCCCAGTAAATACTGATGTGCAGCCAGAGCTGAGAACCACTGTTGTGTTCTAGATGATTTGCTGGATGCTAACAGGCACTAGACCTGTATCTTCACATCTCCCGAGAGCACATGCACACTGAACACAATGAATCTGGGGCCCCATCAGTAACCTTCCTCTCCTAGAATGGTAGTGCAAGATGACACTGCTTATCTCTATTTATTGCAAAAATATTGAAAGCGTTCTGATTATTTATTGCTGTATAACAAACCACCCCCAAACTTAGTAGACTAAAACAACCACCATTTTATTATGTGCACTGTGATTCAAAGTTCAAATAAAGATGAGTGGTGATGCCCTGCCTCTTTTCCACAATGACTGGGGTTTCAGCTGGGAAAACTAGAATCCAGCTGTCTTTTGACTAGGAGCCAGAATTATATGGAGATTTCTTTACACACATATCTGGTGCTTGGGCTCGGATGACTTAAACAATAAATTTAAGACCATAGGCCCATCCATGTAACTTAGGTTTCCCTGCAGCATGAAGGCTTCTAGTTCCAGGATCAATTATACTAGTAAACAAGGCAGAGGCTGATGGACTTCGGGACCAAGCCCACCCAGATTCAGAAATATTTTGGTAATCAAATTGACAAGATTTTGTGATAGATTTAACATGGGGAGTGAAGGAGATTATAAAATGCTGTGGTATTAATAGAATACAGAAATTTACATACCTGATAATCACAACGCATATCGATGAAAATTGAATGCAGCATGCAAAAATGAAAGTGGCTGAAGTGGTAGGTATAACATGCTATTTCATAATACCATGTGTTACTGAATAACATTAACCACTCTGGTTAAACCTCTGTAAGTACTCTCCCGGAACCCCAGCATGACTTGGGTAATGAGGATGCTTTTAAACATGGAGAGAAGTCACCCCGCCACTCCATGTCTGGCTTAAAGACCTGTGGGGTTCACCAGATCATTGCATCATAGTGAAAAGATACAGAGTACGCAGGGACCCACCTATCTTGGGATCTAATTTGTCTTCTTTCCTTTTCATTTAGGCTTTTGATATTTTGAGAGTAACACATGGCAGAGAGCACAGCCTGATGGAAGATTTGGTTCTTCTCTTAGAAGAGTGTAATGCCAACATAAGAGCATCCTAAAGGAATCCAGTCAGAGAACAAGTCAACTGTCCCTTGTACTGAGTGCCTTATAAGGGCACATGCCTTCTGCTTTGTTTTCTGTGTGAGCATTTCTTATTGGAAGTGGTTTTCTGTGGGAGTGGACCCTTGGTTTGTGAACCACACAAGAATCATTCATTGTAAGGAAATATAACTATAATAAATACAAAAAATAATTGATTGAAAATACTATCTGGCAACTCTTTTCTTTGTTTATTCACTAGTGATTTTAACATGTAAGATCTCAATGTTCAAGACAGAAAATCCTATTGTTAAGTGCCACTGAGTCAGTTCTTAACTCATATGACCCTGTATAGGGTTTACAAGGAGCAGCTGGTGAATTTGACCACTGACCTTGTGGTTCAAACTGACCTTGTTATTATCCCATACCATCACACCAGGACTTAATGCTACCATTGCTCAAATTTACTCACCAGCCACTAAAGCCACAGATGATGAGACTGAAGAATTCTACCAACTTCTTCAGCCTGAAATTGATCAAAAATGCAATCAA